TAATAGGTATTAACTGTCGATAATCATTTAGAAATGCCATTTTAAGATTTCTAAGATTATACAATAATTTGTTATAGTTCACTCCATCAAACTTGCCTCTTTTTAGTCATGTCTGATAATTTTTCAAACAACCACTGATTAAAGTTTGGTCAGATATTCTTCATATCTTATTTATTCAGTTTGAAATCCCTGTGTAACTAGCTGGAGAATATCTAAATCTTGTTTTGTATTTTGTATTCTCCAGCTAGTTACACAGATTTCAAACTGAATATCTTATAGATATTCAGTTTGAAATCCCTGTGTAACTAGCTGGAGATTATCTAAATCTTGTTTTATATTCTGATATGTTTCAGAAACATCTTCAGCAATGGGAATAAGCTGTTTATATTGGACACCAGACTCTTAAAATTTCCTTAACCACTGTTTACTTCTGATTTCTTTATTAATAATAATTGCATTACAAGTTATTTAAAAACTTGCAGCAGTCTGTTGAAAAGTAACTTTTTAAAAATCAGATTAAAACATTCATTTTACGAGCGTGGAAAACATTCACTTTTGGGGCGTGGAAAATAGTGTAGATTAAAAAAAAAACTAAAAAAAAGTTCACTTTGCAAGCATGAAAAATAGTTTAGTTTTAAAGAAGAACTAAAAAATAGCACTGAAGTAAGATTACATTAAAAAGAATGTGAAAATATAAAATAAAAAAATCAGAAAAAAGAAGAGGTACACATGAAATACAAGTATACTAGGTTGTCTATTTCTGATATGCATAACTCCAAATAGTGTCATGATCATTATTAGCAAGATTGTAGTCACAAACACTTCTACCCTTAATGGATGGACTTATTAGTACTTATTAAAAATATAACTTTGTTAAACAGAATCTAAAACTGACTTGATTGAGCATCGTTTGTCTATTTTAAATTTAATTTGTTTCTATTCAAAAACTTCACATTAACATTTTTTCTTTTTTTCTTTACAAGTCTCAAGCTTAAGCCCTATTTATTATCATAAAAGCATGCATATTTACTGGGTTGTAAGTTTTATAGACCTTTTTTTTACCAAGTTAACATCAGTCAGCTTGTGATAATATAATAATCAGTATATCTAGAGAATTGCCAGAAATTTTTTTTTTCTTATTTGGTTAAAAACAGTGATAGCTACTTGTGATGGAGACTGTACACATCCCTTCGTATTGTTTCTGAATGTTAGAAAGTGTTTTGTGGTTATTGATAACATCACTTGAAAGGTAATATATATTAACACCTAAAATTATAAAATCTTTTTTTCTGCTTAAGTAAATAGTTCATGTGGTGTGAGAATCTGATTTGTAATTGGTGCTTGTATACTTTACTGCTTCTATTTATATAGTTCCTTTTATTTCATCGCATAGACTTTTACCATGGTTTAATGCAAGGAAGTGACGTTCAGCATTTATTTTGTGATCTTTTAGGTCATTCATTAGGTTTATGAGACCTAATTTTTTTCTATGTCACTACACCATCAATGAAGTTTTTCATTTTATTGATTACAGATAGTTTGATTTTGTTCATATGGGGTGAATTCGTGAAAATATATGTTATGAAAATAATATGTTTTTATTTTCATAACAAATACCAAATGGATGCAAGAATGCTTAATCAACTTGCCAGCAAACTCCTTGTACAAAATCTTGAACTAGAAAACTATAGTTTTCAGCAATTCCATAAGAATAAGAAAAGTGTGTTTTTTTTAAATGCACTTTTACACTATTTTGCGCACAAAACCAAAGACTTTTTTTCCAGTGACCAGGGCTTCAGCCCCAGCTAAAAATGAGATTTTTTGCAAACCCAATATAAGTAAAATTGTAAGATTTAGCAAGGGTTGATAGACAGGGCTAGAAAAAATTTTTAATATTTTATATATTATAAATTAATGTATACATTTACTATTTATTAGATGCTGGCATATATATACTGGCATATATATGCGAGCAACCAATATTAAGTTATGAAGTTATGAGTTACTAGAAAATAAGGGATAGGGATAAAGAGCAAGGAAATGGTTAGTTGAAGACTTAAAAAGTTGTAGGTTGTATAAGTCAGGAAAGCATGAAGATGGGTGAGTTTTGTTGATGTGCAAGGAAAAAAACTGAATTAATAAAAGTTTTAATAACATGAATGGACAGATACAGTAATAGGATGCGAGTTGTTGAATAAGAAGCCAAGCCAGAATGAGTTTTGGTTGATTGAACTAGAGATGATAGCTCGTTTGAGCATTGACCATGATGATATTTGTAAAAAAAAGCAAGAAATGCAGCCTTACAACAATGGAAGAGTGGTAGCTTGGCAGGTAAAGCAGATCTAACTACATTTGCTTTTGGACTTTGTTTGAGAGCAAGAGGGTTGTTATTTGTCGATATAAGAATGTCAACAATATTACAAAAGTTGTTTACAGTAAATAACTGAGTTTTTATAGACTTAAAATCCGCAAGTCACTGAAAGCCCCCCTTCAGTAACAGAAGCCAAACTTCAGTAACAGCTAGAACAGGCCTTAGGCTGTTACTGAAGAGAGATCAGATTAAAAATCAGCTCCTTGTTCTAAATGATCAAAAAGTGAAAACTTCTTATCAAGACAAGAATATAAAGTTGTCAGCAAATAGAGCCACTTTATATGCAAGGTTTTCATGGAGATTGTTATTGTAGATAAGAAACAATACAGGAGTAAAGATAGAACCTTGTGTTACCCTTAGAGTTACTGAAAGTGAAGAGTGTAGGCCTTCGAGAATAACTTTAATACTGCAGTTAGAAAGAAATGATTAAATAGACTCAAGACCTTTATATAAACTAATAGTAGAGAGAAGACTAATTTGTAGAATAGTTGGAGAGGTCAGAGTGTTTTCTAGAGTTTTCAAAATTTAAAACCACTTATTTAGCACTTATTATTAGTTTAGCAAAAATTGAAGAGAGTTTTTTCGTAAGACTATGATAGAAATCTTGTCACAAACTGTAGAAGTGCTTAATTGAGAATTAACTTTTGCATTAGAAGCCAGTGTGATTTGGATGTCTAACAATGAGTTAATCTGTTTAACTGAAATGGCAGGAAGAGTATGGCCATTAGATTCACGAGTCAAATTAAAGGAAAAGTTTTTTGCAAATAACTCTGCTTCATTCTGGGGAGAAGTAATAAGATCCATGATTTAGAAATTAAATGTTACACTTACTTTATTTAATGATATTGTTAAAAAATTTCCAAAAGTCTCTAAAACCTAAATCTGAGATAAGATAAAAGATCTAGTAAACTGAGTATAACAGAGATTAACATCAGACAGTACCTTTTTGCATTGGCTTCTTGCAATAATAAAAGGACATTTGTTCTTAAGAGAGATGTTCTTGTAAAAAAGATGAAAAAAATTATTAATGTTTAATAAAGCAACTGCTCAAGATGGTGAAAAATGTGGAGTAGATTGAGGCTTGACTTAAAACTGAAGAGAATGAATAAAAGTTTTCAAACCTGCTCGAATCCAGGAGGTTTATTAAGATGCGCAATAATGCATACATAGTATAAATATATGTGGATATAAGCATATATGTTAGTTATTTATTTTGTTGCTGGCATAAAATATCCTTACATATTTATATAAACCAAGGTGTTACCCAGAAAAAAAGTTTAATAGAGTTTTTTTGCAAAATTGAGAACTTAGGTGTGGCTAAAAAAAAAAGAAAGAAAGTTCATTGCATTCTGACGTTTAAAATAAAGACAACTTGTAGTTTGCAAGGTTTTTTAACTCAATTTACATGAGCAAATTAAGGTTTCACATAAATAGATAATTTTGACATTTTTAAAATAAAAATTTCACTGAAATTATTTTTTATTTGCTGGATTATATTCATAGCAGGAATATTTTTATATTTTATAAATGTTTAGTTATAATTATTCAACTTGTTTCATTCTGAGAAATCTTCTTAAGTTTTCATATTTAAATCGCTTCTCTTCTATGTGTGATGTAGTAGAGAGTAAAAAAGAACAAAAGACATATGTTTATATATATATATATATATATATATATATATATATATATATATATATATATATATATATATATATATATATATATATATATATATATATATATATATATATATATGTATATATATATTATTATTATTATTATTATTATTATTATATATACATACATACATACATATATATACATCCTAAACCCTTAATTTATAGGCACTCCCTCCATGTTTTACCTATTTGTCATTCGATGTATGTACTGAAGCCCCTGGCAGAATTCTATTTCGTATGTCAGACTGCTCACCTAACCTCGCCATATAAGTTATCTCTAATGTTTAATGTGCACAATTGAGCAGAACAATTGTCAGAACTTTTATTATTCATCTGTAATAATTATAGTTCTGATTGGTTTTAATTATAATTCTGAACTATTGTTTTGTGCAATAAAGCATATCACTAATGTATAGTTTTATTTATTTTAATCAAATAAATTTTAAACAAAATATAATTATTTTGTACAGTCTTTCTGGCTTCAGCAGTGAAGGGCATTGTTAAAGGTTATAAAATAATGGCAGAATTTTAGGAATAAAAGACTTCTAAAGAAAAACTGGTTACAAAAAAAAAGCACGATTTATATACATTAAAACAATATAAAGAAAAAGTTAATTAAAGAAATTTGAAGCAAAAAAAAGCATTAACATAAAATGTTCATCTTATTTCAAGTTAACACTGTGAAACATTGCAGAATATTTTTATCTTTTTTATTAAAAAGTATTCTTGAATAGTAAAATATTGAAGACCATAAATAAATCGAATTGAAATGTATTTGATCACATGTTAAATGATATATTTTATATTATGATGTTGCATATTAAATATTGGTTAGTTAGTGGTCACTGCTAAAATAAATTTGCAAAATAATTTTTTCCAACTTTAAATTTGAAGGCTCTCACAACTCTAATGCATAACTTTGAAACTTTATTTTTATTTCAAAATTTTAGTATTTTAAGAATTCGGAAAGACGAGAGTTCTCTGCTACAAGAAGTGCACATGGTCTTCATATGCCTATGAAACTTCAAATGGAACGAGCTGTTGCTTCACGAGTATGTTTTTTTGTTGTTATTTTTTAAAATAATTTTAACTACTTGTTTGTTTTTTTAACTAATTCCCAACAAGGCTGCAAGCAACCACTATTTAATTTAGGAGTTGCCAGAAAATAAATGATATTGCTAAAGAGCAAAGTAACTGTTGACAGAAGACTTAAAAAACTGTAAATTAATTAAAACATGAAAATAAGTGTGAATAAATTGATATGTGAGAAAAAAAATTAGAAAAGTAAAAATTTTTAGACCAATAAGGTACATGTACTATAAAATGATGCAGTTTTGCTGAATGACAAGTCGCACCAAATTAACTTTTTTTTTTTTTAATATCTTCACTTCCAACAAGACGGAAAGCAACCACTATTAGAGTTGGAAGTTACTGAAAGAAAAAAGATAAAGCTTATCAAGCAAGAAAATGATTAACAGACAACCTAAAAGATTGCAAATTATATGAATCAGAAAACAAGATGAAGGGAGTGAATTCCAAAGAAATGATGTTTGAGTAAAAAAACTAGACAAATAAGAATTTTTAGAGCACTTAAGAACAGTCACAGTAAAAGGATGAGACTTAATTGAATGACAAGTAACAAGAGAATGAATTTTAGTAGATGACACAAGAGATGCTAGCTCTTTAGAGCACTGCCCATTATAGTATTTATAGAAAAGAGAAAGAGAAACAACATTTCGACAATGTGATAATACTGTTGTCATGACCGCTTTATAAAATCCTTTGTAAGAAAGTGGCAAGCACAATAAAGAGATGCAACCTTAGTAGATTCTAGTTTTGCTATGGGTTTTCAAGAAAGATTGAAAGTGTCAATCCTAAAAGGTAGAAGACTCATCAAGTATATTATTGTTCACAAGATCTAGATTATTGCGATTTTGATTAGTTGAAAAAAATTGAGTTAAAGTTTACCAGCTACTGAGAGCCCCATGCTGCAGCAGAAGTGAGATTCTTTTCAAGCTCAAATGCCCCTTCCAAGCGATCGGAGAGTGTTGACTTCTTATCAAGACAAGAATAAAATGGTAGTATCATCAGTGAACAATGCCACCTTAGATGTGATAATTTCTGGGAGATCATTAATGTAAATTAAAAAAGTGTAGGAGTTAGATTGCTCTCCAAAATTTTTGTAAATAGATATAACAAATTTCGCTTTCCAGAAGGCTGGGAAACAAGACTCTGATAAGTACTTAGTTTTGAAAGAATAGATAACAGCTCCATAGAACACTTCTGCAAGAATATAACAGGTATGTTGCATGTTTAGATGATGGTATGTTTATTTAGGTGCATTTAGATTATGAAACAAGACATAATAACAACCATTATAGTATTTTTAAAAGAGAAAAAGAGAAAAATGGTAGTATCATCAGTGAACAATGCCACCTTAGCTGTGATAATTTCTGGGAGATCATCATCATCAGAAGCAACTGCAGAAGTTCAAGCTTGGCAGCTAGAACAGGTTTAACTACATACATTACATTACATACAATACATTTTTAGACCATGTCTAAAAAAACCAGTCCAAACATAGTATTCCATAAAGGAATGGAAAGTATGAAAATGGCAATGGATTGTATATATGGCTTCATGAGAGGTTAGTAGTAAATGATGACCTGAGAAGACATAATGTAGAAGACTCAGCAAGAATGTTACCATGTCATTAATATAAGAATATCAACAATATTGTAATAATTGTTAACAATAAACAACTGAGTTTTGTTTGGGTTAAAATTCACCAGCCACTGCAAGCCCTAAGCTTCCACAGAAAAGATATTAGGTTCATGATTGTTCACTTGTTCTAAGCAATCAAAAAGTGATGATTTTTTGTCAAGACTTGAATATATAGTTGTGTCATCAACAAATTGAGCCACTTTTAATGTAAGATTCAGGAACGTTGTTAATACAGATGAGAAACAAATCAAGACCATAGAACCTTTTATAAACCTGGAAGTTACTGAAAATAAAAGAAAGTATTAGCCATCAAAGGCAACTTTAATACTGTGCTTTTCACAGATACACCCTACAGGCCTTGTGATAAATAAAAACTGCACGACGCATAAGCACGACGTGATTTTTGACGTCATTAAATTCTTTTTATTTGCTTTTCATATTTATCGACATTAACTGCACCAATTTACTTAATTACTGAAAAACTACTTTAAATCATTAATGTAGAAATGTTATTATTTAAAAATGTTTTGGAATGTTTCGTTTTTTAAAATGTAAAAACATTTGTTTATTTTCTCGATGTTTGACACGTTTTGTCTATACTAAACGAATAAAAAACATAAGTTTTTCAAATAATTATTTTTTCTTTTTAAAAAGTCAGAGAGTAATAAACTGGAAATTTTAATATTGTACGATTGAAAACTGTGCAATAGCTAATATTTTTACTAGCGATTTTAGATAATATTTATTTATTTATTTTTATTTATTTTCATAAAGCAGTTGATAAACACAATCACTCGTATTATTAAAAAACTTTAACGAACGTTTTGAATAGATTTTTAATCTTTACAAGGAATTTTATTTTTGGTAAAATAAAATAATGTTAGAATAAAAATCTTTTAGGTATAAAAGAAATATTTCAGCGAAAAAATTATTCTTAAAAATTATTCTTAAAAATTATTCGAAAAACTATTGACGTTCTATTTTTCAGCAGCTGTTCTTAAGCACGCTTCGTTGAGTTTCGGTAACTTTTAACAAAAAAGCGGTTGTTTTTATTTAAGTAATTTTTTTCGAGTCACTTTTCACAAAAATTTTAATAACTGTACTTTTTTATTGAATCAAGTAGAATGCGTTTTAATATTATTCCTTTTATTTTTTTTTATTTGCACTTACCAATTTTTAAAATGTTTCCTCGAAATTACTCTTAAATACTTTAAATTCGTCTAACAGTTAATAAATATTTTTAAATCTATGGAATAATTATTTAAGTTAAAAATCTAAAACTAAAAGAAAGTATTTTTGTTCAATTTTATCAACAACTTTGCTATTGCTGATTAATTTTATTAAAATGCTAGCTTAAAAAGATTTAAACTTTTTTTTAATCTGAATTTTTTCTACTTGTAAATAATGAGCATTTATTAAATGTTAAAATAATCGTAAATTACTTCATTAAAATTCCGCTCAAAAATATCTTTAAATATACTCAAACAAAATATTTTTTGCTCGACGCAAATAGCCCTAGCTACACGCAAAATCGCTCTTGGATGACATAAAATTCACATCACCCGACGCTTTATCGCAAGGCCTGACCCTATGAAGTGACCCTATGAAGAAGATGAGCATGCCAAACTTTATCCAAAGCTTATGACAAAAGCAATAGTCTTTGCCTTGCTGTTTCTATTTAAGGATAAAACCTATTGTAACAGTTAACTAGTCAGCTGCAGTGGATCAAAATCTTCATTGTCAGAAAGTAAGTTATTAATTAGAGACTCAAAAAACTAATATTAAAAGAGAAGACTGATGGAAGTTAGAGGGGTCAGAGTCCTCTCCATAGTTTTTAGGAATTAAAACTACAGATGCCATTTTCCAGCACGCAGTAAAATAAGATTCTGTTATTCACTAATAAATAATTTAGAGAGTATTGAAGAGTGTTCTGGAAAACATTTTTGTAAGACATATGGCTATGATACTTTTGACTGTGTTAGACAGGAATGTTGTCTGGACCACTGTAGAAGAACTGTAGAAAAGTTTAAGATATAAATAACTTAAACAACAGAAGCTGGAGTGTTTTTGTCAAACTGTGGGTTAACCTGTTTTTTTGGGATGATAGGAAGAGTGTAGCCATTAGATTCAAGAAATAACTTAGACAAAAACTTTTGTGATAATTTTGCCTCATCCTCAGGAGATGTAATAAGATCAAACCCGTGTATTAGAGATGTAATGTTAGGCATTGTTGAAGATTTTTGAAAAGTCTCTAGAACCTAACTTTTGAGATAAAATACAATATTTAGTAAACTGAGAATAATGGTGTCAGACAGCACCTTTTTGCATTGATTTCTTACAATAATAAAAAGATATTTGTTCTCAAGAGAGTTGATCTTGTAAAAAAGATGAAAGAAACTATTTTTATCAGAAATAGCAGCTGTATAAAAAGGTGAAAGCCATTTGTAGAATGCGTGTGTGTGTGTGTGTATATATATATATATATATATATATATATATATATGTATGTATATATATATATATATATATATATATATATATATATATATATATATATATATATATATATATATATATATATATATATATATATATATATATATGTATATATATTAGGGTTGTCCAGGATATAGTATGAGGTGTCAAAATGTTGTGAAGTGAAGTTTTTCCCATTATAGACTCATATATTACTTAGTACTACACTACATTTTCACAAATTAGTGTCTTATCAAAACTGAAATATAACTTCTAATGCTGCTTGACTCCTGCAACAACCATGCCTTTTGCTCAATATCAGTTGTAATGATTATAGCAAAATCCGAAATTAACTTGACACCACACTCCGCTGCATCATTAAAAACTTTAAATGTACAAATAAATTGTTCTCCACTGCTCTACTGGTTTAGAAAGCCAAGCAGTGCTCACTTTCAAAATGTGGAACAACAAATGAGATGATCAAAGTTGTCAAAGTTATTTCACAACCAATTTTTTTGAATGCTGGTTTACCGAGGCAGAAGTTTTCTGGTATTAGAGTCAAAAGCAATTGTATAAATGAGCCAAAAATCCACTCATATGCATGAGTTTAGCAACCATTTTATCATCATACCGCATTTGTTTGGAAAACATATACATCTTTCCAGCATATATGTTGTTGACCATCCAACGTGCTTGATGCAGAGCCCCTGGTTTGAGAAAGTGGACGCTATGTGGGGCAATTTTACCCAAGATTATCAAAGTGTTTTCAGCAGATTCAACTTTTCCAAGAGATAATCATTTCTTGGAAAAGTTGTTGAATTCTTGCAAGATAGCATGTCTGTAAGTTCTTTGA